TTCATCTCTGATGAATATAGATGCTAAAATCTTCAACAACATATTGGAAATCCAGATCCAGCAACACATTGAAAAGATCATACACCATCATCAAGAGGGATTTATTCTCGGAATGCAACGTTGGTACGACATTCACAAATCAGTAAATGTGATTCACAACATAAAGAAAATGAATGATAAACACCACATGATCACATCCATAGATGAAGAATAAGCATTTAATAAAATTCAGCAACTCTTTATGATGAAAACACTCAGGAAAGTGGTAATAGAGGGAGCACACCTCAACATAATAAAGGCCATATATGAGGCACCTATTGCTAGTGTCATACTCAATGGGAAAAATCTAAATTTTCCCCCTTAAGATCAGGAACAAGACAAGGGTTTATGCTTTCACCACTCTTATTCAACATAGTACTCAAAGTTCGAACCAGAAAAATCAGACAAGAAAAATAAATAAAAGGTATAAAAATTGGAAACAACAGCATAAAACTGTTCTTATTTGCAGATGGTGTGAGAGTGTACATAAAAAACTCTATAGTCTCCACCATAAAACTACTCAATCTAATGAGTGAAATTTGGCATAATAGTGGGATACAAAGTCAATTTTCAGAGACTGATGGCATTTTTCTGTACCAACATTGAACTATTAGAAAGATAAACTAGGAAAAGTTTCCCAATTAATACAGCAACAAGAGCCCTAGCTCATGTGACTCAGTGAATTTAGTGCTGGCCTGTGAACTAAAGGGTTGCCAGTTTGGTTCCCAGTCAGAGCACTAGCCTAGGTTGCAAGCCATATCCCCTGTAGGAGGCATGTGAGAGGCAAACACACATTGATATTTCTCTTTCTGTCTTTCTCACTCAATTTCCCTCTGTCTAAAAATAAACAAATAAAATCTTAAAAATAATGTTTAAAAATAGCAAGAAGAAAAATAAAGTACCTAGAAATAAATTTAACCAAGGAGGCAAAGGGCCTATTCTCAGAAAACTATAAACACAGAAGAAACAAATTAAGGAAGATACAAATAGTTTGAAGCATATACCATGTTCATGGATTGAAAAGATTAACATCATTAAAATGTCCATACTACCCAAAGCAATCTATAGACTTGCAATTCCTATTAAAATACCAATGGCATATTTCACAGATCTAGAGAAAACATTTTTTAAAAATGTATATGGAACCAAAAAAAGACTCCAGTGTCTCAGCAATCTTGAGTAGGAAGAACAAAATTGAAGAGACCACAATACCTGATATAAAATTATACTACTAGGACACTGTAATCAAAAAAACCTGGTGCTGGCAAAAGAACAGAGACATAGACTAATGTAACAGAATAGAAAGCCCCAAAATAAACCCATACCTCTATGGTAAATTAATATTTGACAAAGGGGCATGAGCATACAATGGAGTAGAAATAGTCTCTCCTTTTTATGTTATTTCATTTTTATTTCTTAAAAGATTTTATTTATTTATCTGTTTGTTTATGTATTTATTTATTTATAAAGAGAGTGAAAGAGAAGGGGAAAGAGAGGGAGAGAAACATCAATGTGTGGTTTCCTCTCTCATGCCCCCCACTGGGGATCTGGACCATAACCCAGGCATGTGCCCTGACTGGGAATCAAACCAGCAACCCTTTAGTTCGCTGGCCAGCAATCAATCCCCTGAGCCACACCAGCCAAGGCTATTTTGGTTTTTTACTTTTAAGTATATTTTATTGATATGCTATAATTGTTGTCCCATTTTTTTCTCCCCTTTATCAGGCTTTCCCTGGTACCCCCATTCCTTCCAGCATTCCCCCTCCTTAGTTCATGTCCATGGGTCATACATGTAAGTTCTTTCCTTCTCCATTTCTTACACTACTGTTAACCTCCCCCTGTCTATTTTGTACTTATCAATTATGCTTCTTATTCCCTGTACCTTTCCCCCCATTCTAATCCTCCCCCCTTCCTGCTGATATACCTCCATGTGACATCCATTTCTATTATTCTGTTCATGTTCTGTTTGCTTAGATTTTTTGTTTCTGTTTTTCCTTTTTTTTAGGTTCAGTTGTTGATAATTGTGAGTTTCTTGTAATTTTACTGTTCATACTTTTGATCTTCTTCTTTTTCTTAGATAAGACCCTTTAACAGTTCATATAATAAGGGCTTGGTAATGATAAACTCCTATAACTTGACATTATCTGGGCATCACTTTATCTTCCCTCCCATTCTAAATAATAGCTTTGCTGGATAGAGTAATCTTGGATATCAGCCCTACCTTTCCATAACTTTGATTACTTCTTCCTGGCTCCTTCTTGCCTGCAAGTTTTCTTTTGATAAATCAGCTGAGTGTCTTATGGGAACTCCTTTGAAATTAACTTTCTTCTTTTATCTTGCTGCTTTTAAGATTCCCTCCTTATCTTTAATCTTTGGCAATTGAATTATGATGTGTCTTGGTGTGTTCCTCTTTGCTCCAATTCTTTTGGGACTTTCTGAGCTTCCTGAACTTGCATGTCTATTTCCTTTGCCAGATTGGGGAAGTTTTCTTTCATTATTTTTTTTCAAATTAGTGTGAAATTTCTTGCTCTTCCTCTTCTCCTTCAGGCATCCTTATGATTCATACATTGGAATGTTTAAAGTTGTCCAAGAGGTTCCTAAGGCTCCTCTCATTTTTTTGAATTATTGTTCCTTCATTCTGTTCTGATTGAATATTTATTTCTTCCTTTTGTTCTAAAACATTGATTGAGTCCTGATTTCCTTTCCTTCACTGTTGGTTTCCTTTATATATATTTTTTTTTATTTCACTTTGTATAGCCTTCACTTCTTCCTTTATTTTGCAGCCATACTCAAACATTTTTGTCAGCATCCTAATTACCAGTGTTTTGAACTCTGCATCTTAAAGGTTGGCTATCTCCTCGTCACTTAGTTCTTTTTCTGGAGTTTTGATCTGTTCTTTTATTTGGGGAATATTTCTTTGTCTCAATGTACCTGTTACATTGTAAGGGGTAAAGTTTTGGGTATTCACAAGGTCAGGGCAATCCACTTTGCTGTTTTGTGGTGCTGTATATAGGGAAGGGTTTACAGAGGGAACGATGTCACTTGCTCAGCTCTTGCCTAACTTTCAGTCACTTCCCTCACTTCCAACAAGTGAATTGCATCCTTTTTGATGCTGCCCTGATTCCTGGGTGAGTGGGCATGTGTACATTCTAGGACCCCGTAGGCCCTTCCAATGGACTCTTCTGTGAGACTAGCAGTTTCTCCTGCCACAACAAACCCCATTGGATTTACAGCCAGGAGTTTTGAGACTTTATTTTTCTGGTGCTGGAATCCTGGGTTGTTCAGCCTGTCTCACTCCCCAGTTGTTCCTCCTGGTTTATCCACATGCAAATGTCAGACTGTCCCATCCACCAGCCACTATCTTGCCCACCCGGTCCATGAGCCACAACTGTGCCACACATCTTCTCCACCTCAGCTACCCATCTCTGCCCCTCCTTCCAGTCTGTATGAATGTTTTTTCTTTAACTCCTTGGTTGTTGGACTTCCATAGTTTGATTTTCTAGCAGATTTGGTTGTTTTGTGTTTTTAAATTGGTTGTTATCCTTCTTTTGGCTGTGTGAGGAAGCAAAACATATCTACCTATGCTTCCACCTTGGACAGAAGTCAAAAATACTCTCTTCAATAAATGGTGTTAAGAAAATTGGACTGGTACATGCAAAAAATATAACTAGACAATCAACTTAAACCTCTGAGTTTACACCAAAATAAACTCAAAATAGATAAAAGACAAATATAATTTGAGATACTATAAAACTTCTAGTGGAAAACATATGCAGTAAAATTTTAGATATCCCATGTGACAATATTTTTGCTAATATATTTCCTAGGGCATGATAAATAAAGGAAAAATGAACAAATGAGACTACATCAAATTGAAAAAAAAATCCGTATGTCTAAAGAAACCATTATCAAAATGAAAAGGAATCTGATGATATGAGAGAACATATTTGCCGATTATGCATTGGACAAGCATTTAATCTCCAAAATATATAAAGAACTCATATGACTCAACACCAGGGAGATAAACAATCCAATTAAAATATGGATGAAGGACCTGAATGGACACTTCTCTGAGGAGGACATACAAATGGCCCATAGATATATGAAAAAAAAAAAAAGCTCATTTCCAGCCATCAGAGAGAAGCAAGTTAAAACCACAATGAGATATCATCTCACACCTATCAGAATGGCCATCATTAATAAATCAACAAACACCAAATGCAGGCAAGGATGTGAAGATAAGGGAACACTTGTGTAATGTTGGCAATGGAGATTGGTGAAGTCGCTGTGGAAAGCAGTATGGAGTTAACTCAAAAAATTAAAAATAGAATTGCCTTTGACCCAGTGATTCCATTTCTGGAAATATACCCTAAGAATCCCAAAACAACAATTCAAAAAAAAAATTACGCACCCCTATGTTCGTAGCAGCGCTATTTACAATAGTCAAGTGCTAGAAATGATCTAAGCGCCAATCAGTAAATGAGTGGATTAAAATACTGTGGTACATTTATACAATGGAACAGTAGGCAAAGAAAGAAATGAGGAAGGCCTATCTTTTGCAATAGCATGGTTGGAACTGGAAACTATAATGCTATGTGAAATAAACCACTCAGTGAAAGACAAATACCATATGATCTCACTTATAGGAAGAATCTAATGAACAAAATAAACTAACAAGCAAAATAGAACGAGACACATGGAAACATGGAACAGACTGACAGCTGCCAGTGGGAAGAGGGAGGGGGGTTATGATGGCAAGAAGGGGAAGAGATCAAAGAACATGTATGAATGACACATGGACTTTGACAATGGTGTGGGGTTGACTGTAGGAGTGAAGGTTAAGCTGGGCAGAGGAGGGCAAACAGAGAAAGATTGGGACAGCTTAATAGAATCACAATAATAAAAAAGTAAAAAATAAAAACATCACATAATTTTAAGAGTTTTTTTCTTTCTTTTTTAAGAAAGACTTGGGGAGGTTCTTCTACGGAACCTGCTCCTTCCTCATCGTGCTGGTCAACAAGGCACTGCTGATGACCTACGGCTTTCCATCACCAATTGTTCTTAGAGGTAGACAGATGGCAGCTACCATAATGATACTGTGTGTGTCCAAGTTAAATAAAATAATTCACTTCCTTGGTTTTGACAAGAAAATTCCTATTAAGTTTGCCAATGTTCACAGTGCTCAGGAAATTTACCATTCCACTCACTTTACTCTTAGAAACCATAATACTCAGGAAACAATACTCCTCAATCATTGTCAGTGTCTTTACCATCATTCTCGATGCTTTAATAGCAGCTGGTTCTGACCTTGCCTTTAACCTGGAAGGTTATATTTTTGTATTCCTGAATGATATCTTCATGGCAGCAAGTAGAGTTTATACCAAACAGAAAAGGGATCAAAAGGAGCTAGGGAAGTGCTTTTTTACAATGCCTGTTTCATGATTATCCTGACCCTCATTCTTAGTATCTCCATGGGAGACTTTCAACAGGCTACTGAATCCACCCAATGGAAGAATATTCTATTTATCATACAGTTTTTTCTTTCCTATTTTTGGGGGTTTCTGTTGATGTACTCCACAGTGTTGTACAGCTATTACAACTCGGCCTTGACTACAGTAGTGGTTGGAAACATCAGGAATGTATCCATTGCCTACACTGGGATGTTAGTTGGTGGAGGGTACATTTTCTCTGTGTCAAACTTCATAGGGTTAAATATTTGCATGAAAGGGGGCTTGAGATACTCCTTTTTGATTCTGAGCAGCCGGTTAAAGCCTAAACAACCTGTGGACAAAGAAAACATCCTTCCGGATTTGAGGAGTTAGACACTGGGGCAGAATTGCAGATGGACTTGCTGTCTGGCGGCTATGGGGCGGGGGTCATTCCCAGATGTGGGAAAGTGAAGCCAGATGTCTGAGGTGTGGGACATCCTCTGGTGAAAGCAACAACAAAAAAAGTCTGCAAAATGAGGAAATCTACATCACATGCACTGCACAATGAGCCATTATCGCCCTGAGAAATGTGTCCGCGCAAAGTGTTACCAGCCAAAAGTAATTCTTCCTAAAATAAGCCACTCTTTAAAGGGATTGTTTTCAGGGGTCCAGGGGTCGATCACTCCTCTGCTGTTCACTGCTACTGCATATGATTAAGAGGAGGTACAAGGTCAACACTGTGAAAGTGATTACTTTCTTACCAGCACCTTTTCCTTAATTCCAGCCAAAGCATAGGAACAGTGAGAGCATTTTTTTCAGTTTAAACAGACATATTTTTATTTTCATTAAATTATCCAATTAATTAAGAGTAGAATTATGTGTTAGCTTTGATTTGATCTTACATATTGGTATTTTTCCCAATCATCAAAGTAAAATAAAAAATAATTTATAAAAAAAAAGAAAGAAAGAAAGACTGGGGGAAACATCAGTCTCTTTTCCTGTATGGAAATCTAAGTGGATTAACATCAAAGGAATATTTGCTACAACTCTACTAGCAAAACTTTAGTCACTGTGGGGTAAGCACTAGAAGGTACAGTGGGAAATCATCTAATTCAATATCTTCATTTGACAGAAGAATCAAGACCCGCAGAGGAGCCAGGTCACTTGCCCAAGCTCACAGAGGGTTAATGGCAAAACCTGAGCTAAGCCAGAAGTCTTCTGACTGTCAGTTTCAAGTTCTTTTATTGGGCCAAACTGTCCTCCTGTTGGAATTAAGCATCTCAAATAAAAGATTGGGACAAACTAATTCAGGCCTTTATGGAGATACTGAGTGCATGTTTCTTGTTTCTATTTGCACATAGATATTTAAAAATGGTAAGAGTCCCTATGAGAAACAGGCAGGCACACTCAGTTGAGTAATTTGAGAGGAGTTCAAGAAAGGTACTGGGAGAAATAAGGAGGGTTTATCACCTCAGCCTTGAAAGGGCCACATGAGGGAGCTATTTCCAAAGGACAGAGGGAAGGCTCCTTGATGAGGGCTTTGTGACTGGAGCTGTGACATTTCCTTGAGAGAACTATCAGCCCATGGCATCCTACAGGGAGGAAACCAGGAAAATAAATATCACAACTTCACTTTTTTCTGATCCCCCACTAGTGCTCTCCATTGGTCTAAGCTTCAGGGAAGCCAGAGGACAAGCAAGCCCAGCGAAAGAGTCTAAGACAGGCCTCTTTTCCAGAACACAGTAGGATAGAGAAAAATGAGAGATCTAGAGACAATATCCAGCACAATTAACAATGGACACACATTATCAAGTACCTATTGGATGCTAGATACTGTTCTTAGAAATTTTCAGATTGCATTTATTCCTCACAGCATATCTTTTGCCTTACAAATAATTTCCCCCATTTTACAGATGACAAAATTAAAGCCAAAATGAGTTAGATCACTTGTTCAAGGCCATACAGCTGCTATTTGAGCATGGCTACTATTTAAACACAGGCTTGTTAGACTCTAAAGTTTGTGCACAGTATTTATTTTTCATGTTATCCTTGCCAGGTTTTGCTATAAGGATTATTTTGGCTTCATACAATGTGTTAGGAAGTGTTGTCTCTTCAATTTTTTGGAAGAGCTTAAGAAAGATAAGTATCAAATCTTCTTTGAATGTTTGGTAGAATTCACTAGTGAAGCCACCTGTCCTGGACTTTTACTTTTGAGGAGATTTTTCATGGTTGTTTCAATTTCTTGAATGTTGATCAGTCTATTTAGATTTTCAAGTTCTTCATGATTTAGTATAAGAAGGTTATATATTTCTAGAAACTTATCCATTTCTTCTAGGTTATTGAATTTGGTGGTATGTACTCTTGCATAGTATTCTTGTGAGATCTTTTGTATTTTTGCAGTGTCTATAGTATTTTATTTTTTTATTTTGTGAGTCTAACCAGAGTTTTATCAATTTTATTAATCTTTTCAAAAATTGCAGTTGTTTGTTGCAACCAGCTGTTTGTTGCATTAAGTTTTATATAGTCTTTTTGTTCTCTATTTAATTTAATTCAGCTCTAATTTTTATTATTTTCTTTCTTCTGTTGACTTTGGGCTGCATTTGTTCTTCTTTTAAAGGTTTTTTTTAAAATTTACTTTTAGAGGAGAAGAGAGGGAGAAAGGGAGAGAAACATCAATGTGTCACCTCTAGCTCGTCCCCTACTGGGGACCTGGCCTGCAACCCAGGCATGTGCCCTAGACTGGGAATTGAACCAGCAACCCTTTGGTTCACAGGCCGGCACTCAATCCACTGAGCCATACCAGCTAGGGCTGCATTTGTTCTTCTTTTTCTAGTTCTTTAAAATATGTTAGGTTGTTTACTTGGGATTTTTCTTGTGTCTTAATATAGCCTTGTAATGACATAAACTCTCCTCTTATTACTGCTTTCACTGCATCCAAAAGTTTTGATATGTCACATTGTCATTCTCATATGTTTCTATGTATCCTTTGATCTCACGTTTTATTTCTTTTTTAACACAGTCATTTTTTAGTAGCATGTTGTTTAATCTCCACATATATGTGGGATTTTTTGCTTCTTTTTTGCAGTTGATTTCTAATTTCAAAGCATTATGGTTGAAGAATAATCTTGGTATGATTTCATTCTTAAATTTGTTGAGGCTTGTTTTGTGACCCAACATATGGTCTATCCTTGAGAAAGTTCCATGTGCACTGGAAAAGAAATGTATAATCTGATGTTCTGGGATTAAAGGCTCTGTATATATCAATTATGTTTATTTGATCTAATGTGTCACTTAAGGCTAATATTCCTTTATTGATTTTTTGATTGGATGATCTATCTATAGCTCTCAATGGAGTTTTTAGACCCCCTACTATGATTGTGTTTTTGTCAGTTTCTCCTTTTAGTTCTGTTAGTAGTTACTTTATATATTTCAGTGCTCCTTGATTGGATGCATATATATTGCTGAGTGTTATGTCTTCTTGATGTATTGTTTACTTTATGATTATAAAATATCCATCTTTTCAAAGAACTAAAAAGCTTTTTCACAGGAAAATAAACTGTCAACACAACAAAAAGGCAACCACCAAATGAGAGAAGATAATTGAAAACAACATCATCAACAAGGGGTTAATATCCAAAATACATAAAAAACTCATACAACTCAACACTGAACAAACAATCCAACTTTAAAAATGAGCATGTGGTCTGAGCAGACACTTCTCCCAAGAAGACATACAAATGGCCAACAGATATATGAAAAAATGCTCAACATTACTAGCTATTAGGGAAATGAAAATCAAAACTACAGCAAGATACCTTTTCACACCTCTTAGAATGGCTATTAACAACCAGATAAATAATAACAAGTGTTGGAGAGGTTGAGGGGGGGGAAACATCTAAACATCTTATTCACTGGTGGTGGGAATATAAACTCATACAGCCACTATGGAAAACAGTATGGAGCCTTCTCAAAAAAATTAAAAATAGAGTTACCATATTACCCAGCAACTCATTTTCTGGGTATCTACCTAAAAAATTTGAAATTATTTATTCACAAAGATATATGTACCCTAATGTTCATTACAGTATTATTCATGATGGCCAAAACATTGAAACAATCTAAGTGTCTTTCAATAGAAAAGACAAAGAAGATGTTCATATATACAATGGACTATTTCTCAGCCATAAGAAAAAATGAAATACTGCCATATGCATCAACATGAATGGACATTGAGATTATTATGCTAAACAAAATAAGTCAGTCTGAAAAAAATTAAGAACTATATAATTTCACTCATATGTGGAATATGAAACTGAAAGCAACAAATGAACAAACAAGAAAAACAAATAAACAAAAACTCATAGACACAGACAACAGTATGGTAGTTACCAGAGGAAAGAGAGTTGAGAGGTAGTAAAGGGGGTCAAATATATAGTGATGAAGAGGGTTTGACTGTGGGTGGTAGACACAATGCAATCTATACATCACATATCATGGAAATGTACACTTGAAACCTATATAATCTTATTAAACAATTTCACCTTAATGCATTTAATTTTTTAAAAATTATGAGATAAATAGTATCCAAACCTCAGATATGCTAAAAAGACTATGCCTACCTTCTTTTTCTTAAAATTTTATTTATTTATTTATTTATTTTAGACAGAGGAGAATGGAGGGGGGAAGAGAGGGAGAGGAACCTCAATGTGTGGTTGCCTCTCATATGCCCCCAACTGGGGATTTGGTCTGCAACCCAGGCATGTGCCCTGACTGGGAATCCAACCAGCGACCTTTTGGTTCTCAAGCCATTGTTCTCAATCCACTGAGCCACACCATCCAGGGCAGCACCTACTTTCTAATTCCTCTTTAATCACCTTCTCCAAAGTGCCTAGTCCTTACTATCACCCCGCAATTTCCTATAAACCCCTACTGAGATATTGTTGTTAATGGACAACCATTTTGTTAACTAATAATTTAGTATTAACTAGTACAATTTTAAGGGCAACTACTTCCAGAGAAAGCTGCATTTCAATAGAGAACTTTTCTCTTATCATCTCACTTTTATACATTTTCCAGGGTAAATATATAAAAAGGAGTATTTTAGAACTCACAGAAGCAGACAGTTGAGTGATAGTTGCCAGGGCTGGGGCATTGACCAGCTGAGGAGATGCTGATTAAAGGTAACACATTTTCAATTATAAGTTAAGTAAATCCTGGAGATTAAATATGCAGCATGGTGAAAATATACAAATGTAATGATTAATGATATCGTATTGCATTTGAAATTTAGAGTAAATCTTAAGTGTTCTCACACAAGAAAAGATAAGTATGCAAATTGATGAATGTGTTAATTAGCTTGATTGTGGTAATCATTTCACAATTTATACATGTAT